TGAGAGAGAAACGACCAATTAAGGCCTGGACTTGCGATGATGGTCGGCTGTAAGTTGCCCTAGTTTCTCAGAAATTCCAGCTTTACAGCTCTAATATTATGAAGAATACTGAGCAACCTTGTATTATTATTTTTTCTGTATATGTACAGGCTTTTCCCTTGACTATATTATATACACTTTCTATTATATAAGATTAGGAAAAAATCTAGGGTTAATCAGTCAATCTCCTAAACTTTAGGATCTAATTATTACCCTTGGTTTCCTATCCTAAAAAATCCTCTTATAATAATTCTTCCACGATTTCCTACATGATATCATTTATAATGCTTCAGGCACAATTTCTACTGACCTAAAGACCTTTTATCCTAATAACCTTTCAAACTCAAACTATCATACTTCAAAAACTCAAGTTCAAATTATTAGTAGCATGTAACTTGAGTTTTTACATGAAGCTAAATAATCACATATCTTTCTCATATAGTTGGGGAATTATAAGAAGAGCTCGCTTGTAGTTTTGGGCGTAGCTGTTTTTTTTTCCTTTTTGAAGGAAAAGCTTTGTGCTTGGCTTTGTGCAAGTCTAAAAAGTATTATGTGTCTAATGCAATATAAGTTTGCTGCTACTCCAAATTCTGCCTTCTCTTGCTGAAAATGAGGTCATAAGGCATTGGCTAAATTGTCTTTAGCTGCTTAGGGGAATTTTCATTCGTTACAATTGTCACTCTGGTCTCTTTTCTGTTTCTCTCATTACCCTTCTAGGCTTTTTACTTTCTTACTTTTTTCTCTCTTAGTTCTTTCCTTTTCTCCTTGATATTCTAGGTTAATTTCCTCTCTATTATTGCCTTTTAGTTCATTCCCGAGTTAGGCCTCGTGGTGTTATTTTATGCTCTTTTTTGCTTTTTCCCTTAAAATTCACTTGCTCTCAAAGTGCAAACCATTCTTAGTTCTTGTGATTGGATCTGGTGTGTAACCATCAGGCCTTTTCCTCTTTTGGCTTCTATGAGAAAATACATGCTTAGAGCTTCACTTTTGTCTCCTGTTTTGTTTCTTATGTTTGCTCTAATCGTTACTCAAAATGAGTACCTGCAAAGACTGGGATTTTGCCATAGATTTAGAGATATAGATTCTTGTCTAGATTTTTTATTATTCTTGGAGACATTACTAATAGAAACTGAAATTTTATGTTTGGCACTTGGTTATTAGGAACTATATGTTTAATTGAATACAGTTTAGAACATCAGGTACCTAATTACATGAAAGATCAGACACTTAATAAAGTTTGAGCACTTTTAAATACATTTACCTATGGAAAATCGTGTTTGATTCTTTCATAAGTATATACAAGGAAGTTCGAGCAGCCACCAATTCGTAACAATAAGCATTAGAAGCCCCGTCAGAGGAACTTAGCAAAGATTTCTTTGTTGTCCATGTTGAGGGACACGACCTTGCAGAGGGCAGTGCTACCCGAGGATGCTGGGACTACAGACAGGAAGAATGACATGGCAGCTTATGGAGCAAACAACAGGTATTAATAGCAAAGCTGGAAGAGCCTCCCAGAGAGTTTTCAAGTGACCATTCAGATATTAAAGAGGGAGGAGAAGGCAGTATCAGTGGGGGAAGGCATGATCAGTAGCTAGGAGTTGGATTGGGAAATGATCAGGCTGATGGTGGTCCTGTTATACCAAAATAGTGAACAAGCATTGTTCTGCCTTTCATGCACTTCTCAAGAATGTCTGATACGGGTTGGGATTTCCAACTTCAGCAAATTCTGGCTGTCTGACCATAAACTTTGGTACACCTACAAATTATAAATTCTACAAGAGTCTAAGGCATGACATAATTTTTCTGGTGCCAGACAGAAGGGTGGTTCCAGAAATTGCTTAAACTATTCTGGTCAAGGGGGAGGAAAGTGAAAATACCACATGGCTGATTGCAGAAGTACTGGTTTCCCTGCCATCAACCAATAATTTCTATGAGGATGTTCTTTATCCTAGGATTCGTTACAGCCTTACTCCATCAACACAGGATGATCTGCAAATTTGAAATAATATATAACCTGCAAACTTTTAATTTTTGAGAGGCTGTTTTTTTGAAGCTAACTTTTGTGCTTGAGGACTAGCGCAACTTTGACAGCAGGAGTGGTTTTTTGGTCCCACAATCCATTCATGTTAGCAAGTGTGGTGCTTTCAGTTTATTTTCAGTGTTTCCGTGTTCTATGTCTGGTTTCTAGTCTTTGTATTTATAGGTGGTTATCATTTGGTAGTGGATGGTTTACGGCTCTTTTGTGGGTGGTTATTGTGGTAGCTGGATCAGTTTTATTTAGTTGTAAATGATGTATATGTATTGGTTGTATTGGAATAAGTAGGAAAATAATTTCAGAAAAATTTTCGAGTCTTTCAAATTCTTGCAGATCCTTGGGTTCTCTTTTAACAAGGCTGTACTAATTGATCCCATATCAGGATTAAAGTAGGGACCATCGTACAAGGGCAGGGTAATTGCATATGGTAAGGTAAACGACTCATGGTAAGATCTTTGTCCTATCATTTGTTTGACATAATGAGGTAAGAAGATGAGTAGGTACTAGAAAGGATCATATTACCATTTTCTCAATTCATAATAATTAGTACAAATTTAAAATATGAACAATTTTAAATGTTAGTATGAAAATAACAGATATATCATTAAAATAATAAAATAGAAGGAAATAAGTTTGAAGTTTTGCAATAAACTATAAAATATCTGAAATTAAAAAATGTCTGCCTGTAATACGTGGCTAGGACATGTTTAGGTTGTAGTTTTCTGATCAGTAATCACAGCCAAAGTGCCATAGTTTAGAACTTTCTAGTCTCAAATTGTATTGAGATGAGACTTCTATGATTATTATCAAAAATATTATGGATAATTTTGAGTTGATCATTGATATCCAAGATATCTGCTTTTGATCTTTGTTAAATTTTTCCTGTATGTTTTCTTCAAGTTATCTTTGTCCTACATTACATATGTTTGTTATTGGTTGCTCAAAACACTTACCCCCACTTACTTCCAATCTGATTCTCAGGAATACCCAGAATATTTAGCATACAGAACTCCGCTGTTTTTTTGTGATGACTGGCTGAACATCTATCTCGACAATTACCGTCTGCATAAGAATTCTGACATTTGTCAAGAGAATAATGAAATAAGTTGCTCTGACTATCGTTTTGTTTATATGGGAGCAAAAGGTTTGAGTTTAGATATGATTATCTTTTGTTTTCTTTTCTTAGATTTAGATGCTTTTTTTCTGCTAGATATTTGGACAGGGTTCTTCTGCTGTAATTTTTTGTTCCGATTGAACGTTTAGCTGCATGGAACAATCTAACTTCCACTTATTTAATGCAGGCTCTTGGACACCCCTGCATGCCGATGTTTTCAGGTCATATAGTTGGTCAGCTAATATTTGTGGGAAGAAGAACTGGTTTTTTCTTCCTCCTAATCAGAGTCATCTTGTGTTTGACAGGTATGCATATGACCTCTCTCCTTGCGAAATATTAGTTAGTTAGGCCTTTCACAATTTGGATAATACTTATGTTGTCTTTGGTTCAATTTTTTTTTTAAAATAAAAAGTATAAGATATATATTAACAAGGTACCAAAATGAGAGTACTGTTCATGTACAAAACTTTACAAAAGTGTTAGTGTCAATAACATTTCCAAAATTCTCTTCACTAATAATGTTATGACCAATCAAAAGAGTTCTAAAATAATGTATCTACCTGTCTCTTAATCTAGTTAGTCCACATTGTGTACCCTCAAAAACTCTATCATTTTTTTCTTTTCACAGAACCCAAAAAACGGTCAATGGAATTAAGTTAGCAATTCTTTGTTTTATAAACCTTCCCAAGCCCACACTTCATCCTGCGCCGCATCCACCATAACCCAATTGATTCCCAACAGTCCGTAGACCATACTCTAAAGATAATATGCTGTAGGACACCACAAGAGTAGATGGTTATATGATTCCTCAGCCTATAGGCATAGATGACATCCATTCACTATTATCCAACCCCTCATCCTTAATTTACCCAGAGTGAGAATTTTCCCCTACAAGCTTCCCAAGTGAAGCAACACATGGGAACCTCTGCTTTCCATATTTGTTTGCAGGGGAAACTAATGAAACCCACAGTACCCACATCAAACAGAAGCTGGTAAATAAGAGTGGACAGAGAAATTTCCATTCTTTTCTAGACACCACCAGATCTGATCAGGCTGGTTGCTGATATGTTGGGAAGCTAGAATCTTCAAAATGTCTTCTTATTCTTGAATCTCCCAATCATTTAAATTTCTTCTCACATTGATAGACCACTCAATAGAGTTATTTTTCACCTTGTAAGCGTTCTTAACCAGTATGTTTCTTGATTGTGCTAGGCTATAAATTCTTGGATAACGGCTTCAAAAGAATCATCATCCGTCCAGTCATGGTGCCAAAATCTTATCCTATTTCCTTTCCCAAGTTTCCATATGGTATAATCCTGGAATCGTAACCATTGAGTGAGGAGCTTCTTCCACAGACCTTTGCCATGAGAAATGGACTGCCTGAAACCGCTGCTGTCCAGATCAAGACAACCCCACCAGGCATCAATAACTCTTTTCCATAATCTGTTATCTTCTTTCCAATATCTCCATAACCATTTACCATGGAGAGATTCATTCATTTTAACAATCGATCTAAATCCAAGAACCCTCAAAGATAACGGATTTTAATTTGTTCCCACTTTACCAAGTGAAATTTGCACTTTTCCTCATCATCTCCCCCTAGGAATTGGCATTGAATGGCTTCCAATTTCTTAGCAATATTGATTGGTATTGTGAGAGTAGAGAGGTAATAAATTGGGAGATTAGACAATGTACTCTTGATTAATGTGTATCTTTCCCTTTTTGAAAGAAAGTTTCGTTTCCATCCTGCAAGTCTATTCTCAAAAAGATCCAGCACCGGTACCCAAGTCCCAGAATCCTTGTATTTGGTGCCAAGAGGGATTCCAAGATATT